TGTTTTACTTTATTTCGTTTTTAATCTTCTCTTGCATTTTCTTAGAATTAGGAAAATTTTTGTATTATAAAATTTTTATTTTTGAAATTTTGTTTTATTTTCGTTTTATTCGTAATATTTATTTTACCTAAAAATTTCCTAATGAAATATTTATTTTATTAACCGAAAAGGAGGAAATTATCAATTCATCGAAATATTTTTTTATGTGTATTGCCGAATAAATTGGACCAGGGTGGTCCCATACTAAATTGGTTCAGTTTCGATGAACAAAAAATTCGTTTGTATTTTTGCTTACTTATTTCATTTTTCATTTCCTTTTTGGTTTATTTATCTTTTTCTGTTTCATCTTGTTATTTATTTAATTAAATTTTGTTTTTTTTTTTAATTTTCATTTTCTTTGTTTTTAACCGACTTCAGACTTCAAACAAAGGAGGAGGTTTTCAATGCGACGGAAAATACTTTTTTATTTAAGTTGCCGCATAACTTTTGGCCACTTGGTACCTCGAAAGTGATCCCATACTAATTTGCTTTCGTTCCGATCATTGAATCTTGAATAAATCAACGGTACTCCTAAATTTTTGTATGAGATTGAAGTCGGTTTTGGTTTTTTGCTTAAAAAATACTTGTTATTTTATTGATTATTTCTCTAATTTTTAGTTTTTCACGCATATTTTCTGATTATCTCACCATGAATTTAAATTATTTTTTCCTCTTCAATTTTAGTTTTATCAAATTTTCTCCTTCCATTTAATATATCAGATATCTCAAAATTTCATCAAAACCATTGAGCGTAAAAAAAAAATATATATGTATATTTTTTTCGAAAAATCATCGCATCAAAGCTTTGCATATCATTAGTAAGCGCACATACAGGAAAAGATGTATATGCAAATACATAAATTTAAAAGCGTAAACTCACAGCGAAAACTCCACTCTCCGTTTTACACGCTCGACAACGATGTATATTACATAGTAAAAAATTTTAATTACGAGTACTAAATAAGCGCACACGCTGCGCTCATCACTTATAAACTGTTATGGCTGGGTGTTGGTCATGGTGGTAGTGGTGAAACTCACGCCTGTCAAAGCAAGTACATAGCCGTGGCTTATATGTATGTACATCTGTATGCTTTTTTTGCGTCGTTGAAGCTGCTACAATTCACCTGGCCGCCGGCTCAACACTTAATTAAATGTTACACATACCGCATGTAGCCGTAGCCGCCGAGCTAGAATATTCAGTTTATATGACTGTTAGTGAAGCTGCCTATGTACGTATAGATTTTTGCGCATGTATATGGTGCATGTGTGCGCGTATGAGTATTAGCCACAAAAAAAAAATGTGTGCATAGGTTTGGTTTCTTTTTTTTCGAACGTTTTTTTACTGCATACCAGCACCTTTTTGCGGCCATGCACCGTCGCTATGAATATTTTGGTTTTGTGTTACGTTTGCTTGTGGCTGTGTTGGCAGATGTACATACATATGTGAGTTTGAATATTTTTTATATATGTGCTTGTACATGCGCACAGGCATTTTATAGCTTTAAATGGTGTCATATGACAACGCTTGACCGGCACTCACGTGCTTATATCGGGCACCACTAAAAATATGTTTCATATTTTTGATAGCCTAAATTTAGGCTGCATAGCTGGTAGAGGCTGCAATTAGTCATGGATAGGAAAATATATGTACACTCAGAAACATTTATTTTGGTTTTATATTTGCCATTCACCTTAGCGGCCACTCATACGCCCCGTCGTCCATCAATTAAGTATGTTTTACAAATACTTATGTATGAGTTATATATTTATGTATAAAGCATAACAATCAAATGCTATTAAAGGACAAAACGAAAGCAGAAGACGCACAGTTTTTTGAGGTAATTATACCGATTGCCTTACAATTAACATTTGTTTAGAACATAATTTGAAGGAAGCCAATGAAAGGCAGCAAATTATAAGGGAGCGAACGTAAGCAGTTTCAATACAAAAACAAAAAATAAATAAAATAAAAAGGAAGTCAAAACAAAACAATACTACGAAAAACAATCTAAATACTAAAAAGCGACAAAATGGAAAACTTTCAACAGAAAAGTGACGAACAATGCGAAAAATTAAATACAATGTAGACAAATTTAACGCCAGTCAAACAACTAAGTAACTTACGAGAGCGTACAATGTGATGTGGGTCAAGTTGTACGAAAATGTAATTAAAACTTTTGCATTCATGACCGCTGTTTCAATGTGTGTGTGTGTGTGTGTGTGCGCGCATGAGAAATTGCTTTTATTTTTTCCCCATTATTTTCTCTCGCTTTTTGCTTGACTGCTTTAGTCAACTTTTTTATGACTTGAGCAACCGTCATGAATATGCTTTCAAAAAGTTGCTGAACGTAGCATAATTTCATAGGTGCAAGAGATATAAATATTGAAGAAAATTAAGGAAATTTAGCATACGATATACAGTGCAAGTTGTTTCACTTTTGAGGGGACGGTAATCGCTAAACGAGTATCTCCTTTGCTGACTGGTATGGCGACTCGGCTATAAATTTAAAAAATAATAATTTTTCTAAAATTACATACATGGAAGTTTTTAACGAAATTTTAAATTTTTGGTAAGGAATTTATTCTTATTTTAGAAAAATAAACTTTTGGCATGAAATTTTGTGCAAGTATTTTTTAGTTTGCAAGTTTTAGTCTGTAGATATCTCATTTGTCTATAAGAAAATATTTTTCTGTCGACTAGTACATAAATTAATAAAAAGAAAATTATACTAGATTAGAATTATATTCTGCGTAGCATATATGTAGCACAAAACTAAAGGAAAATTTAAGGAAATGATAAAAAAAAATTAGAAAAAAAAATTTGGAAATGTGTGTTCTTATAGAGATATTTTTTAGTTTGAAAAAAAAAATAAGAAACTAAAATTAACTCGCCTCTTGTATTCGGAATAAAATTGTTTAGGGAATATAATTTAAAACTTTTTTTATTGAAAAAAAGTGCATAGCTAAAAAAATAAAAAAAAAACATCGTTGAAATAATTTATTTATTTAAATTATTTTATTCATAATAATTACCGTCCCTGGTTTTTTAAATATTGCACACAGTTTGAATTGGATTTGAGTATCGTTTTGCTGTTCGCTCGTTTTTGGCGGTTCGCCGGCTAACTGTGCTTTTCATCCGTTTGGAAAAAAAATATTAATTTTCAATGAAAGTTTTCTTACGGAAGTATTTTCTGATCGGAAAAAAACAAAATTTGATATAAAAAAAATATACAGAATATATCGAGCCTTGCCCGCCAAAAAAGCGTAAGCGACATTTTTTCCTAACTAATTAAAAATATGGAAATTTTTGTGTTACTTCTCAGTATTTTTTATTCCGAATAAATTTTATTTTATTATATTGGTAAACTTTGCGTATAACTTTGAAAAAATGGGACACAAAATTTTTTAAAAGCTACCTAAAAGAAATCCATTTTTTTATTAGCCTTTACGTCGAAAGAATTAAAAAAACTTTGCATTTTTAAATATTTATGTAAAAATTTAAAATTAAAAGTGATGAAAATTAAAAATTTCTGAATTATACATGATCTCAGTTTCTTGCGCTTCAAAATTTTAAAATTTCATAAATCTTTATGCTTAAGCAATTTTTAATTTTAATTCATTTTTACTTATAAGTTGAAAAAATGTAAACTCTAATATTTTCATGAGCAACTGACAGGAAAATAATGGCATCGTTTTGATAGTTATGCAATATTTAACATTTTCTCAATTGAATTTTTTTTAGAAATTAAAAAAATTCAGTTCTAAAGCAATGAACTATTTCTAAAAGCAGGACTCAATTTTTGTATTGAAAAAAAATTTATTTTTCAGATTTAATTTTTTTTAATTTTTGCTTAAAACTTGAAAAAATAATCACTTAAAGGATAATTAACGCTTTTTTAGTAAAAATAAAAGCAATTTATTTTTTGGAGCACAACTTAATTTTTGTGCCTACGAAATTAAAAATTTTCATTAATTTTTACCTAAAACTATGATATTATTTATACACTAATATTTTTAAGAAAACTCAAACAATATTTTTTAAAATATGCTACCGTACCAATCTTTTTTTGTATATGAAAATATAAAACCTAAATATTTTTAATACATTGACAAAAAGCTTGGCTTAAATGAAATGAAAAAATTCACTTTTTAGAATATGATAAATTCTTTGTAATTAAAAAGAGGAATTTCATTAAATAAATATTTTAATTTTTGGCTCAAGTTTAAGTCTTTTTACACAAAAAGTGGAGTATTTTGTATTTTTGGAATACAATTGAGTTTTGGCGAGGTATTAAATGTAAAATATTAGGATAATATCTATTTCAACTTTTTTCCAGTTTTCCAACATGAGGAAAATAGATATCGCTCCTTTACTTCAATAGTGGCATAATCCAAAAAACACAAATATTGAGTTAATTACTCAGAAATTACCCCCTCTTCTTCTCCTAAGTTGTATAGAAATTTCATAGATGTATTGATTGCCAGTAGCTCACTAGAATAAAATATGTATTCATTTTTACTATGGGAGTATATGTAAATTCAAAACTTTAAAGCCGTTTTTCTCGAGTTTGGTTTTATTTTTGAGTTATGACACTATTTAAGTAAATGACACTATTGAATGTACATATTTTACTTAAAATTTCGATGGTTCAGCGCCGTAACGATTCAGGTGTTTGGCTGCTAACAAAGCTATTTGTGGCTTTAATTTTCTCTTTGATGGTAGGAAAATATGTTGAAAAATATTCCTCTGTTTAATTTTGAGTTGTGAAAATAACGAGTTGTGGAAAATTTGCTGGCCTTGGAAAATGTCATACAAAATCCCTTGCAGCGGTTCCATTACAAAATGCAAATATCACTTTTAGAATTTTCTGGAATTTCTTTGCTCTTTTCCTCCTTTTGTATTGTGCAATTATATTACTCTATGTTCATGTTCGTTTGCTCTTTTCGGTTTTCAATTACAGAGAAATACGTGAGGGTATCATACGTTGCATTTTGGCCACGGACATGGCGCGTCACAATGAGATACTAACACAGTTCAAAGAGATTACACCCATATTCGATTACTCAAATCGTGCGCACATCAATTTGGTGAGCTGAAAAAAAAAACAACAAACAAGTTTTACTATTTGTAACTTACTTTTGCTGGATAAGAATTTTTTTTGATTTTTCAGTTTAATAATTTTCGTAATTTGTAGTATACTTTAAGGAGTTCAGTTCATCAGATTATTTACATTTGGCTTTATGTCTCATCATCTCACTTTCCCTTCTCGTTTTCCCTTTCTTCCCCCTAACAGCTCTGCATGGTGCTCATCAAAGTGGCAGACATCTCAAACGAAGCGCGTCCCATGGATGTCGCCGAACCTTGGCTTGATCGTCTGTTACAGGAATTTTTCGCACAAAGCGCAGCCGAAAAGTCTGAAGGACTGCCCGTCACACCCTTCATGGATCCGGATAAAGTTAGCAAGCCCGGTTCACAGGTGCGTTTTATCGGTTTGGTGCTATTACCGCTCTTCGAAGCCTTGGGCGATTTGGTGCCTGAAGTGATTGAATTGATTATAATACCAGTGCGCATAGCGCTCGACTACTATAGGTGAGTTTGAGTCGTTTATCGCTCTCTCTCTCCCGCTCTCCTATTTTTAAGTTACTATTTTGCTCATTGCTCTAACCCTCAATCTTACTTCACAGACGCTTAAATGATGCTCAAAATAAATCGCGCAAATCTGTCGCCGACGCCGCCTCCATGGCCGCATCGGACAATATTAGCGCTGCCTCGGATGGTGGCGGCAGCACAACTGCTGTCGGCGGTACACATGCTCATAGTCCAGCGGCTGGTGCGAATGGTCAGGGTGCAGCAGGTGCCAGCACCGCCTCAACGGGCACCAGCACAACTACCACAGCTGGCGCCGGTGGTGGCGGCTCCGGCAGTGGTGGCACCAACTCTGGCGGCAGTATTTCACCACAAATGCCACGCTCACAATCGGGCATTAGTGTGAAGTCCCGCCGGAGTATACCATCACAGAAATCCGCTTCACGCACATCCGTCGATGAACCGCAATGTTTGGCAGCTGAACTGCACGATTTGCCGGAGGGTAGTGAGAGTGGCGATTCGGAAACGGCTACGGAAGTGGATGTAAGTAGATACTCGGTATGAGGGGGGGGCGTATTTATTGTTGGGAATTTCGTACTCCAAAGAAATAGTGTATGTAATTTTTTTTAGTAATGGAGCAGCATATCTAAAGGGTATCACACACATGTGCCAAAAAAATCTCGGGTAGGATAGGAGCCATTAAGTCGTACGAAAGCAAATTTGTAATTTTTTTTCTTAGTGGATTCTGGATTCGCAGAGTTTGAGTAGACGAATAACTAAATAAAAGCTGGACTCATGAATCGCCTAAGGATGGAGCTCTTAAATGGAAGAAATAAATCCCTGAAATATTTTGTAAAATTACCCAAGTTCTAATGTCATTCTTTTACTCTTTCGCGATGTTTTGCTAGATCGTTTATACGAATCAATGCACACTTTTCTTAAAATTGAGGAAACCAACAATATTTCAGCAACTCTAATAATAGAAGTTTAAAAAGTCCCTATTCTCGTTCTCGTAGATGAAAGTTTTCGGTTGCTCGTAGCTCTCCTCAGATTTTGACTATTTTTCGTGTACTGAAACTTTTCAGAAGCTTCGCATCATCTCTCTAATAAAAGACAAATTTTCTTTCTTATAAAGAACGTCTAAATATACCTGATTCGCAAGTTCAAACGTATACCCATATTATTGCCAAAATACAATATAAACAATCATATATATTTTATGTGCCTACAATAGCAGAGTATTGGTCTTTCAATACGGTAGTAAAACCCGTTGTTGAATATGCGATTGGTGTCATTACTGGCATCCCTCCTTTGTATATTCTCATTGAAAAAGAGGCCTGCTGGAGCGCCCTATGGCTTGCCCAATACGATCAGCATGAAAAGTGGAGATCTTCGGGGTTTTCTGAAAGTTCTCAAGCAATTCCTGGATGATCCCGCTATCAAGTTGACGGACCTCATGCTACCGAAGTTATCCTTCAACTAACGCTAAAAGGTCAGATTTCCTGCAAGAGACTGCTGTGAAGCGCTAATAACTATGATTGATGAAGGGTCCCAAGTATGGTATATAGATGGACGACGCGCATACAGGCATGTAGGCGTACTTGGACCAATATTCCAGAAAAATGTGCCAACAAAAGGACTGACTGTCTCGCAAAGCGTGTAGCCCAAATGCACATGCATGGTCCGGAGCCGTTCTGCGGTACATCTAAAGAATACACTACAGAACTATTTAGGAGCTGCCCACTTCTGTAGAGGTAGACTGAAGGTTTTGTGGGTTGGTGGAGAAAAGCTCAGAGCATATTCTATTTATGGGACTGCCCATTACAAGACTGACACAGCTTGGGCAACGATTGTCCTCTCCATCCAAAATTTGAAGCATGGCACCTTCCAAGACGCCTAACTTCTGAGCCTTACTTCGGAGTGATTACAATAAGGGTTTAGCACAATAGATCTTCTTAGGTGGCCGTGCAAGTATTCCCCACGTAATAACTATAATAAAAAAAGAGAAATACACTAACCACAATATGTTTCCGTACAGTGTTTTTTTTTAATATTTGCAACGTTTTTCGCCAAAATTTTTTTTTCGTTAATTTTTAATAGAACTATAGTTCATTCTGCATCAAATGGCATATAAATTAATAATTCAAAGTTTTTACAAAATTTAGAAAACTTTGACAAATTTTCAACTTAAAATAAAATTTTGAATTTTTTTGAATGTGCAGTTTTGTAGTTACATAACTCAATTTCAGAATATGAGCAACATCATCAGCAATAAAAATCCTCAAAAATCAACGGTAGATTATAGCCACTTAAAACTTGCATTTTATTATACTAAAATTGAGTGAGCTACCAAACTGCTTACTCAAAAAAATTTGTTTAAAAGTTGGAAATTTTGGTGAAAATTTGTCGAATTTTCCTAAATTTTGTAAAAACTGTGAATCATTATTTTATACGCACTTTAATGTAGAAACAACTATATTTCTATTAAAAACTAACGAAAAAAAAATTTATTACGAACAACATTGCAAATATTTAAACAAAAAACACTGTACGGAAACACAATCTGGTGAGTGTATATTTGTGCGAGTATGTAGAGCAAAATGAATTGTTATATGGAGTCAATTTGTTTTTATTGCTCTACATTTTTTATAAACCTGACAGTGGAAAAAAAATTAATTAACAAAAATTCAAAAGAATTTTTTGTATGTTTTGACTGGTTTTGGTAAGAAATTTTGGTAGGGAAAAAATGGTCCGTGGCAACACTGAGTGCACACTCATTAGGTAGTTCATTAGTGTTACCACAGAAAATCATCTTCATTTAAACGGTGAAATTGGTTAAACACCTATTAAATTAGATCTTAAATTGAGCTTCTAATAGAGATAACATTCTTGAGTTAATTCAAATACAAAATATATTAATCATGCCGGAGAGAAAAAGTGATTCGAACCTAGATTTCGGTTGGTCTTATTAGTTTGTCATGGTATTTTTTTCTTTTTTGGCAAAGTTTTTCTCCTAAACCTTTATTTAAAAGCTGCTACCTTCAGTTTTTTGGTTTGTTATCTATCTTTCTATCGATTTTGTTAACGTAACTGTTATCGATTTGATTATTGCTATTGTTATCGTTTTATTTCCCTTCATCGTTGTTTTTTATACATATCTTTATCGGTACCATAATTTTATTAATCGTTATCGATAGCATTTTCGGTGTTACTTCCGTAACTATATATTATATTTGGTGTTAAAGTTGGTAGTGTCACAATTATCAATACTGTTATCGTTAATATTGTAGATACCGTTTTGTTAAATGATGTAACTTTTCTAGCCGTGCTAGTTTTATTTTTTTTTTCGTAATCTGTACCTTTGGCTCTATCAATAAAGTAATAGTTATTGTTATTTTGATGGTTTTAGTTATCGAAATGATATCGTTTGCCTTAATATCGTCTATGTCTTTATCACTATCGGTATTACTATTGTCACCTTTCGAATTCGATAAATATCAATATAGGTGGATACTTTTTCGTATCGTTATCGCTTTCGACATTTTTATATGGCTGTTATATGTATAAATATATATTTTTATTTATCTTCTTTGTTATTCAATAGAATCATGTCTTTAACGATATCGATATTTTTCTGTTTGTTGTTGTTGTTAACGCTGTAGTTATCGATACAATTTTACTTGTTTTCAGGACTATCGATAAATATTTGGTTGTCTGTAGCTAAAGTGCTATCGAATATTATTATAGTTATTGACATCGTTTCATGTATGTAGTATGTATTTAACCTTAACCTTAACAGTTATGATCCCTATAATAAAAATCATAGGTTAACCATTGAAATTGGACTTTTATGATCAAATTTAACCGTTATATTATGACCTTTATCTTTTCAATGAAAAATAATCGTTGTTTTTGAATTTATATTTTTTCGATATTTTTTTTTCGTAATTTTTAATTTTAATTTTTTTTTGTCATATTATAACCGCCATCTTCAAACTTAATTTTTTAGATCACAAATGATTTAACTCGGTAATGAAAATGCGGTCTCCAATATAGATAACGATTAGATTTTATCCAAAAAATTTAAAATCAAATTTAGAGGTTAGTCTGAAATAGAAGTCCAAATTTAACGAATTAAAATAAAAAAATAACGATTTTGCAATGATCTTTAGATAAGAATCTTGATATTTAATGGTTATTTTCGTTCCCTGAGAGTTAGCGATAATATTTTAGTTTTCTTGTGGTTATAGCTTTTGCTATTGTTTTCAATGCGTATATAGAAATTATTTATCGATATCGCTATCGATTGTTGTTATTGGTTTCATTGAAAGTGTTATCGATATAATTATCACTTGCCTTTATTGATTTTAACGAAAATTTTGTCGTTATCGCTCTTCATAGAATTTGCATTTGCATTCGATTTTTCGATGAACATTTTCGTCTGTCAGCCTTCAACTATAAAATCCTCAAGAACACATACCCCCTTAAAGCTCTAGTCATATTTTACGCTGTCGACTTCCAAAGCTGTTTCATACCTAGATACTCTTTCAGAGTGAGTAATAAACTTTCCATTAAAATTTTATAAAAACTGCGCGCTTATAACTCTCTCAATTTCTACACTTCCGTTCCATTATTTTACCACCGCTTGTTTTACAATTATTTCAATTCAAATTACATCGTATTATCCCACCCACATAAAGCACTCGGTCAACTTACATATTTTTCAAAGTAGAAAAGTCAAGACTTATGAAACATCAGCATTTATTTATTGTTTATTTGAATTTGCATTGCCTACTTACGGGCGCCACTGCGCTATTGTCTGAAACTTTATCTTTATGACAATTCGCTTGGCATTACAAGCCTGAATACAAACAACAAAAATACGAATAACAAAAGCTGAAGCAACAACAACAAAAACAATTGAGTATGCTTAATAACAGTAAAGCCAGCGATGCGCTCAAAAATATGGCACGACCGTGCGCTAATCCTTTTTGAGCCGACGGCGAGGCGCTTGTAAATACTTACAACTTACAGCTTTTTATTTTAATTTACAATGATTAAGCGCGGGCAGCTCGCCTCCAACTACGCGCTCTCCAAACAAGCTGAGTACTTAGTGGCGAGGCTGAGCTTGCGGTTGGACGGCTGGTCGCGAGGCTGACTGACAGCCGGTGCAATGGCGTAGCAAACAATGTCCGACTGCCTGACTGTGTGCGTGCGTGTGAGTGTGAGTGTGTGTGTGCGTTGAGGCGTGAGTTAAATATTGTTGCATATTTTTATGGGCCAGCGTGTAATTAATTCGTGTTCTGCTTGTTGTGCATGGTGACTATACAGCCTTGTTTTATGCTTCATTTCTTGCGCTATGTAAATTTTAATGTCTTTTTGTTTGTGCACATTTTTGTTGTTATTGTTTTTGTAGTTGTAATTTTTATGTGAATCCCTTTTTAATAAAAAGCCATTCATACAGCATAACCAAACAACAATAAAAGTGCAGAAAGTGGTGCTAACAGACAGCTTGTAACATTTCCCAATTATAATTATTGTGCGGTTATGTCGCACAAAAGTATGCTACACTTTTCTGTTTGCTCTAACATAGCATTTTTAGCAAGCTTTAGCATATATAACGGGCGCGCTTAGCTCGTGCATACGATTGCAGCGTACGGGTGCTGAGTGCTTCCTGCGCTTAGTTTAGAATTGTTTCCTTTTTTGCAAACATTTTACAGTTTTTTTGTTTTTGTTTTGCGCTTTGTGGCAGTGCTGCGTATAATTAAAAATGATTGCATAATTTCGGGGTCACTTAAGTCATATTAGAACGCTTAATTTAAGCATTATGACAGCTAAAAATTAAGGGCTTAGCATCCGTTACTCAAATTGCGTAATTATAAGCTATGCTGGTTGATATGCCAGAAATTATGCCTGAAAGGGGGTGCCGGCAAAAAAGGGGTAAAAGCATATTTTTGTTGTTTACTGCTAGGCGTACAATGGCAAATTTATGTAATTGATATGGGCAGTCGCTAACAAAAAAGGCACACAAACTGAGAGAGTATGAGGGTTGCTCAGAAATTGTAAACTCTTGCGCTCGTAAAAGCCGTAAAGTATGCTACTTATTTTTAAACTCTCGCTTAATAGCTCATTATTTCGTAGAAAGCCTGCACGAGAGTTATATGGCACTAATTTAGTGACACTTTATTTACTTAGAGGTAAGAGAAATGCTTGAAAGCAATGTTGCCAGACTCACAGTTTTAACTTTTAATTATGGTTTTTGGGTGAGCTTACGGTATAAATTGTATTTTTTTTTTTTAATTTCCGATAAATTGCAATTTCTCTTTTGGTTTTTTTTTTTAAGAAAAATTTTTGCGATTAAAGGGGACGATAAAGAAGCAGCATTTCCTCATTTTAAACAAAAATGTTCTCAGCTGTCCTTTGCATTCCAGTCGCCAGAGCAAATATAAAAAGAATATTATCCCAAATCAATTTGAATAAAGTGAAAAATAAACTGAAAATTCCAGCACGCTCCGGTATTTACTACATACAAAGAATTCATTAAAACGAAATGTGATTTAAATGTTTCATTTCATTAAGCGACGTCACAAAATGGAGAAGGTTATCAATTCGACGGAATATTTTTTTATGTATGTTACCGCATAACTTGTGACCATGCTAACCGATTTTGAAAGGTTAATAAAATTAGACAACCTTAATTTTTTAAAACTCTTCGCTTTCGAAGCTAACGGTTTTTTGGTCTAAAATATACTTTTTTTAGGGAAAATTTACGGTTTTTGAAAAAAAAAAATCTGGCAAGACTGCTTGAAAGTAAACATATATATTGTTTTTTTTTCTTGGAAGTGCTTTATATATAGTTACAGGCAACAAGACGATGCATAGCCATTAAGTCAAAATATGGGTTTTGGCCCGGATAGCTCAAAATTTCGCTGAAATGATGAAACAAGAAATCATCTGCCTAAATGTAGGCAATCAAGACCATTTTATATATCCGCTATAAAAAAATATAGTTGAAAAATATTCAGGCCTGTTATGTACACAAAAAACAAAAAGAATATTTTGTAACGCCTGAAAGTATACAAGTATTTAGCAGTTTACTCTGTAGATTATGAAACTGTATTCAAAAAAATCTCTTTCACCACCTTCTACGTCTTTTTATAGACGGAAAGACCAAAAGGGTCTCATGTTTATTTGCAAATTTGTATGCCAAAAAGTAGGTAAATTAAGAGTACGTGCTGCATAATATTTTGACAGTGCAACAAATAGTAGGAAAAGATTTAGTATACAAATTGACAATTCGAAGTGTGTAAAGGCGTTTTAGTATTCAAAAAGCGATTGTTCAACGCCTGGAAGTATGCACGTTTTTCTGCAAAACGAGTTGCAGTTGGTTGAATCAGTAAAAAAAAAAAACATTCTAATAACGTGCTAAGTTTTTTGAAAGTTTCAATTTATTTTCAATTCAATTCAAACAATTTGTTTTTATTTTTTAATTTAGCACCCAATAGTATGCAAAGTATCGAACATGCTTTAATATGTTTTCGTAGTTAATGCAAAAACGTGACGGAGTTCATCAAATCTATCTTAGCAGCATCGTAACAATGTTGAAAGTTCACTTATAATTTAAAAAAATGAATAAGTCGAGCATTTGTAGAAAATAACCTGCACGCAAAAGTATGCGAACTTCGCCAACTTACCCTCCAATGCTTTCCTAATTAAATTAAGCCCTAAGAGATAAAAATTTAAAGCTCAAAGAAAGCAAAATACTTTTGTCTAGCTAAGAAATAATTGTTAAACGCCTAAAACATGCTAGCTTTCGTCTAAATACACTGTATTTAGTTCACGCAGTTCATAAAAGTGTTCACTGTTCCGATCATAGAAGTCTGTTCATAGTTAAAATAAAAAATGTCAAAAATTTTTCGCCAAAAGTATGCAACCTTTTAGTACGCAATTCTTCAATTTTTGCATTCAAGCGAAGCGCTGATTTGGAAATAAAATCGATAGCTCCGATTGTGTAAAAAGCACTCAAACAATTGAAAGATTCCAAGCCTAAAAGTATGCAGTACTTTTTATGCCAAAATATATGCAATGTTCGCAAGCAAAATGTCTCTTAAAATTGTCCAAAATAGAACTGCGTGAACAAAAAGTAAAAAAAAAGTTGAGAAGAACGCGCTGAGCACCTAAAAGTAAGCACTGTATAAAAAAAATTATCCATGGCCTAAAGTATGCTTGCCTCAGTTGTTCAAAAAGCTAATATAGAAAGGACGCCTAAAAGTATTGAATAGTGTTAACATCACTACAAAGCAGAGTCCTAAAGCATACAAATTTTTTCGCACTCCTAGCAACAAAAATGGTCATTCGAGAGAAATGTGTTTTAGCATGTACTGAGCTCCTGAAAGTATGGATAGTGTGTTCATTTCCGAAACAAAAGCCCGATAATCATTTTCATACTTGGCAGAAACTGTGTTAAGCAAATCAAGAAAAGCAAAATTTTCACATCCTCTATAAGCCATAATAACGTCAACTATTCAAAATTTTAATCGCCTGAAAGTATGCATATTTTAGGTGTCAGTCTTCGTATTTGTATCCCCAGTAAAAGTCTTCTTGTGAATTCAATAGAATAAACTCCTTAAAGAGCAAAGTGGTTAGATACGCCAGAAATTCAAGCAACCATTAGATAGTTGAAAAATATTTTTAACGCCAAAAAGTATGCACGTTATAGCTCAGTAAAACCGGTAAATAATCAGTGAGCGATAGGCCTAGCACCAAAAAATGCGCGCAATATGTGTACAAACATATGTACGAATTCCACACGAATTCTAAAGATCTCAATCGCGAAAGTTGTCTAGCGCCTAAAAGTATTTGTATTGAGAAGTGCTCTATCCATTCGTATGTCTTCTCAATTGTTTCTCGGTCATTCACAATAATGACAAAGGCACACCCCTCGTACGCTCCTCTAACTTAACTCTTAAATATGCTGCTCCAGTCTCCTTTCAAGACGCTCACTCACTCACTCATCGCTCTCCTCTTACAGGTCGCCGAGAAGACTTCCAAGTTCAAAGTGGACACCGAGGGCAGCAGCAATCGCTCGAAATCCTCTCATTCGACGTCGCGTAAGTCCTCGCGTGAGAAGCGCCCCTCCATGATGGGTGAGATGTGCAGCAGTGGCGGTGGTCAGCGCATACGCAATTCATATGGCAACATACATGGCTATCACTCCAATCGCTGTCACTTCAGCTCCAATCGCGCCGTCAGTCTGGATCAGTACAGCACCAATAATCGTCGCCTCTCCGACGGCCTGCAGCAGGTCATCTCCGACAGCAATGTCTTTTACAATCGTCAGAATCGTGGCAGCCTCGAGGCGACCGCCAGTCGGCTGGGCGAAGACTTGAATATGAATGCGCCTGGCATGGGGAGCGGCGTAGGTGGCGGCAGTGGTGGCGGTGCATCTGGCGCCACACAGTCTTCCACGCAGCCGCTCAATCCGAACAATGTGCCAAATGTGGAGTGCAGTGCCGGCATGGCGGCACATGTCAGCGGCGCGTGCACCGGTCAGCAGTCTTGTCAGCATCATCATGCACACCAACACGTCCACACCCACCACCAGCAGCAGTACCATCAACAACAACAGCAGCATTTGCAGCACTTGCAGTCATCATCGAATGGCAATCTCTCGCCCACCCAATTGCTGCAACCGAAATTGCAGCAGCACTGTTGCGCCGCAGCAGCGGCTGCAGCAGCTGTCGCCGCGGCAGCCAACACGTCCAACGGCCTAGGCGGCAATGGCGGCGGTGGCGCCACAATTTCCAAATCCTCCTGGAAGACACGGCTCAAACAGTTCTCCGACTACTTCGGCTTCTCCTTCGACAAAGGTGGCAAACGTTTCGGCAGCACACGCAGCTCGCCGTGTTCGGCGCGCAACAACAATGCCACCGGCTTATCGGGCGCACATCAGATAGCAGGTGGTGGCGCGTTTGATCCGCTACTCGGAAGCAGTGGCAGCGCTGGCAAGCCTCAGAGTATCTGCTGCACTATTTCGAATAATCTGCAGTCACCAGGGCTGCGCCACAAGTCACTAGCAGCTGGCGCTGGACTGCCTACACATTCGGAGCTGGTAAGTGCTGGGCGCCTGCGCGCCTACAGCCTGGACGTGCCCTGCAGCCACACAAGCAATCCACGTTACAGCAGCAGCAGCGGCGGTGGAGGCGACAGCAGTCGCAAGTCATCACGTCACGACGGTGGCACCACCGGCACCGGCGACGACAACAATAGCAACAATACGCTACACAGCAGTGGAGGCGGTGGCAGTGAAATGCCCACTTGTCTTCCGCCACCCATACGCATAGGCAGCGTGGACGCCAGCGATACGATACTCATTACAACTGGACTGCCGCGTGTCATTACGCCCGCGCAACTCGGTGAGACCGAGCCAAGTTTGAGCATCGATTTAGGTATGGCTAGTGGGTCTTCGTATGAGCCCTCGAAGATTTGACAACGGGGGAGCTCGGAGACAACAACGAATTCGCTCTCGAATAACGGTGCACTTGCAGCGCTGCTACAGCAGCAGCAGATGCTGCAAAAAGAGGCAGCGGCGGCAGCCTCGGGATCGCTGCGACACAGCTCCAGCTGTAATATGTCGTCGATGTCGCTGACCATTTGGTCGGCGCTGGGGCAGAGGCTCAGCGCGTTGGTGTGTCATTGCTGCGAACGAAAGTTGCCCGAGCCGGAGAATGTCTGAAGCGAAGAGTAGAAAGGTCTGGGTAAGGGTTGGCTGGGAGGGGTAGAGGGCTAGCAACGTTAGGGGAAAGGGAAAAGTGGTGCAGAAACATGCGCTATTGGGACAAAAGAGGGTGCGCAACAAATGTTGCGGGCTGGTTAGCAGGGTTTTGGGAAGTGGAAAATCCGGAAAGCGATGCGGAAATTATTTGCTGTTTTATTTCAAAATACGCGGCAAATGAAACCAAATGCCAGTGAGAACTATGATAATATTTTATATGAGCAAATTTAATGTTGCTGGCAACATGTTACTATAATACTACTTTTTTTGGAGAAAATAGGCGCAACTTGTAATATTTATCAACATAATCTGTGAAAGACTCTATGCCTATGAACAATATTTTAAAAGCTCGTAACATTTTCCTGCTACAGCATGCTGCTGGTAACATAGTGTCAAAAAAGTAGGTGTTTCGAAATTCCGAACATTTTAGAGAGTACAATTCGTCAGTAGCAACAAGTTGCTGACAACACTGCAGCAGCAACATGCCACAGGCAATATATAGTCCAAAAGTATGTAGCTCGACATGTCAACATTTCGACAAGTAAGTATTGCAATTTCAAAAGTCCACCAAGCCAATATTTTTATTGCAATATGTTGCCGAAAAATATGTTGTCAAACACTGCTGCATGGCGTATAAGTCTGAGAAATTGTCAATGACATTTTCAATCAGCCTTGTGGAAATGTAAACAAAAAATAGTTCAGCAACATGTTTCCGAGTCGCGGGTATATGTTGCGCAACATTGCTGCAAACAAACTGAAACCGAAAAATCTCTGCTAAAATAGTAAAATAGTAGCTCTGAACTAAATAGTATGTAGTTGAGCTAAATTTTTCCCTAAAAGTGGCCGGTGAAAAATAGACAGTCAATATGTTGCTGGCAACACTGAAATTGCATTTGTACGGCAGTACAGTGCTTTGAGTGTAATAGACTCGATTGCCGTTGAATCGGCGTAAAATATTTCGAAGTAAAGGGCATGAAAATTTGTGGCCTACATTCGGGCGCTGATCGAAAAAACCCGTTTAAATCATAGCAGTTTGATGCTAAATTATGCCATGAAATAGGACTTCTAAAAGTATTTACAAAATTTGAACAGACTTTCATTCAGTTTGAATTGTTTACATAAATTTGTTTCACGAAATTTAAAATTTTAAATAATTTATGTACATATATTTTTTAAGCAATTTTTTCCGATTGCAAACATTTTTCATATTCAACACCTTATTTAGAAATCCAACTTCTGTTCAAACCACCTGCACTCGTCACTTGCATTTCGTTGCTGCAAAATTAGTCAAATTAATTTTAAGTTTGGAGGTTATGTTTAATTGTTTAATTTCCGTAAGTGAAAAAAAATTGTCAAAAGTACGGCCCTAACCTGCCAAAATATAATGCGCTACACTTTTATTATACAATATATGTACATACATATATGTATGCTGTTTTTATTTGTTTGGTTATAAGTATGTTTTTAATTTGAATATGTATCTATAAAACCTAAGAATTTATAAAGAATTTACATTCAAAGGTATTTTAACTGAATATGTTCTAAGTTTTTGCCACTTTTGTTTGTGTTTGGTGTCTAAATGTTATATATTTATTACAGCTTGGCCATAACAAATTTTAAAAACTGAAAAAAATTTATGAATTATTTATATTTGTATGTTTTTTTTTGTTTTTGGAATTTTAAAAAACAAAATTTCAACTCATATATGTTTATATTTTTAGGGTATATGGTACTACTTTATAGTCAATATCTTAGTTTTAACTATATCATGCCAATAATACTATTTTGAAAGTAATTAGGTTAGGTTAGGTTAGGAAAACAATTAGGTTAAAAAAATGCAAAATAGTCATATTTTTTAAATTTAATATTTAATGATAACTTTAATTGCAATATTAATTGAAAAATAAATTAATTTGACAGATTGAAAATGCGCACACATTACAGAAAGCAGTTTTAAAATTATATATTTAAAAATTATATGGAAATGCCATTTAAATTTAATTTTTAATTTTTGTTTTTATGAATAAAGCCAGAAAATTAAAATTGAAATTTTCAATTTAATAAAAATTAAAATTTTCAATTTAATAATTTTTTTTTGTTTTTCGAAATTAACGTTTTGATTTTTGTTTACAAAAAATTAAAAAAAATGTAACAGGCAATTAGTAATTAGACATCCAAAATACAGTATAAATAAAAAAATCCTTAAATATTTTTAAAAGCTAATTCAACATTCTTTCATTAAAGCCTTTCTTTTTTTCTAGCATCATTAAGAAATTAATTGTAATATCATAATTTTGTCAAACATAGGAAAATTTTTTACTTTAAGTAAGGAAAAATTATCCTTAATTATTTGAGCTACGAAAAAAAAGCCTTTAGTAAAATTAATGTTGTTGAATTAAAAAATATAAGACTTTCATTGGACATACAATTAAAACAAAAAAATGGTATAATATGTAAGTTCTTAAATATAAATTTAAGTTTATAAATTTAATTTGCGAAAAAATATATGCAAATTGATAAAATTAAAAATTTTTGAGTTTTATTTTTGATTATTTACTCCAGTTTTTTTTTCATTATTTGTTAGTAATTTTTACTTTAAAAATTGAGTTTTGGTTTTTTGTTACATAGTTGGCCTAATAAAAATTATATTCAATAATTTTATTGAGGTTGATGCCGTTTCTAATGAAAAGTTTTTTCTTTATTTGTTATGATTTTATGAATTTGTATGAAAAAAATAAAAACATTTGAGATTTTTTTTTTTTTTTTATTCAAAATTAACATAAATTGCAACTTTTCCAAGGTTTCTCTAAAATAGGTCTGTCTCTTTCTATGCTTCACAAATATAATAGTTTTTTATTCGAAAAAAAAATTTTGCTTCTATTAATATTTATTTCCAAAAAATAATTTTCCCTTAAACTTGTTTTAATTAATATTTAGAATAAACATTAATACTTTGTTTTAATTAATGTTTCTTTTAATATTTTTTTTTCATTAATACAACCACATTTTTTGCTTGTAATTTAATCTTTAAAAATAAAGGAAATTTTTTAAAAATTCTTTAATTGGGTTCCCTTTTATTATGCATACACTTTTATTTTCTCAAAAATATAAATTTTATAAAAGTTTTAGAAAAAGCAACAAATTTTTTAAATACCAAGATTTTCATTTTTAGAGTATTAGAAATCGTTGTTTCTTGATTTTTATTTGTTCGTTCAAGAATAATCGTTAAATCTGGTTTTTATTTAATTTTTCGGTAAAATTCTATCGTTATTTTGTGATTTTTATTTCTTCGGTAAGGTAATTTTATTTAATTGATTTTAAAGGCAACAAAATCCTTTGCTTTCTTAACTTTTTTAGAGCAGGTTTTAAACATTTGTTTTAAATTTTTGTATCGTTACAAAGTAATATTTTATTTAGTTTTTTCAAATATTTGTTTAGCAACTTTTGTCAGAAATATCTCATTTTGTTTACAAGTATTGTACTTTTAATTTTCATTTATTTTTATAACAAGGTTTTCAAGCTATCCTATAATTTTTGGGTCAGGTTTTAAATTTGTTTTTAATGTATATTACATTTTTTGTATTGCCTCACAGTAATATTTTTGTTTCTTAACAACTTTTGTAAGAAATACCTCAGTTTTTTCGCTACCTTATAATTTTTTTATAAACTTTTCACGCAGCATATTTTTTTTGTTTATTAAAAATTTTAAAGCAAATTTTACAATTTTTTTTTTATTATATTTACCCAATTTCTCAATCAATAATTCTTTCGCTGTCATACAATTTTTTAGAGCAAGTTTTCATCAGGTTTTTTTTTTTTTGTATAGTTTTTGCATCACTATGGAGTAATATTTTTTTATATTGCTTATATATTTTTAAACAACATTTGCAAGCAGCCATTTTTTCGATACCTTATAATAGTTTTTAATTTTTCAAGCAACATAAACTTAGTTGCTTCTTAAAAAATTTTTCTAGCAGTTTTACAAGAAAAAAATTTTTTCCGACCTTAACCTCGTTAGAGCAGATTTTAAACCTTTTTATATTCTTTGTTAAATTTTTGCTTCACTACAAAATAATATATGTATGTATATGTTTTTTTTATATTTACACGCAATACAAATCTAATTGCATTAAATTTTTTTCGGAGCAGATAAAATTTTTTCACGCAACTTAAAATTTTTTATCATTTTTTCCTTTAACCAATTTCATTAAAAATTTATTAACATTGTTTTTTAGTATCTTCACTCTTCACTAAACTGACTGAACCAAAAAAAAAATACATATATTTGCTTCGCCTTTTCAAGAAAAACTTCTTTCCCTTCTCCCAAAAACCGCGAAAGGAAATCAACTCTTCTTTCGTTCTTAAATAAGCCTTCAGAATTTCAAGCTTATATTCTCCAAATCCACTTTAATAAATAAAATACAATAAAAAAGCGAATAAATTGCCGCATATTGCCGCTTACTTCGATTGCAATCGAAAACAGAACCAGCCAATTCGAAATCAAAAAAATTATGCTAATAAATCTCGGCAATAATACTAAAATAAATATAAAAATACAAACAAAAATAAACATAAACATGTGTATGTACACACATTTTTCCCAAACAAATGAAATCTCAACCGCAATTTATCAATATGCGCCATAAAGTATGCAATACATATACAGTTTGCTTTGGTGGCGGCAGCGCAATGGAAGCGCAATGGAAGCGAAGACAGGGGCGCAGGACAAAATACCCGTACATGTGGTATGCATGTATGCTTGCAAACTGGTTGTATGAATTTATTTGCAGACATTACATATACTTATAGTATATTCGTATGTATGCATGGGTGGCTGCTACTCAGTAAGCCAAAATATTAGACAAGAATTCTCCAAAAGTTGTATACGAATATGCTGTAATGGCTGAAATGAGTTAAATGTTTATCAACTGACTTACCAAGTGTTAAAAAGTGGTTGCATAGAAGGGCCTTGCAGTTAGTTTTGGCAACAATCAATGTGTACTGGGTAAAAATACGCTATAGGCGATTATCTCAATGACCTGGAAGTAGTAGGAAAATAGTGGTCCATCGAAACGCTTGGGGCAAAGTAGAAATTATGACAAGTTGGTACTGAATTTTATGTTATTTCCAATCTGCAGTTAGAAGCTATTACAAGTGTCTAATATCCATCCCGTTAGGCCCATAATGGATGCCCCAAAACAGCGTCTAGTGTTGGCTTCCTTTCCTGTTAAGAGCACTAGAATGGCTATCGTGGACGTGGAAGATTAAGGAAGCTCGCTAAATAACAGTAGCTGAGCTTTGAAGCCCAATACCAAAGGTTACCAGGTAATAACGAGACTGCATACTTGAGTATTGATACTTTACTGCGCTGGCTTGCCCATGTTGTACGAAGGGATAACGACACTTCAGTGATAAGATCCTCAAACTCGACATACAAGCATATGCGTAGACAACGAAAACAAGGGCGCCCACGTACAAATTGGAAGGACCTGACTGCAATCGGGATGAACAACTGGTGCGAATTCGCATAGGGGAGAGACAATTGGCGAAGTTTTTTTTGATCTCGATTCCTACCGACAAACTGTTGTAGTGACAAAAAAGAAGAAGAAGATGTTTTCCCACGGCCGTCTACCAAACGAAAGCTGCCCGGTATCTGATTCTCCACATCCTAACTAAATGGCAGAAACGGCTCCACGGACAGGTCGGAGGCTCCTTTTTTCTCTCCCGCATACGGAGCCAAGAGACACGAATTCAAGAAACTCTGATCTCAAAAGCAGAAGTGCTTTTGTTTCGCCTCTAAGATAGGACAAAATAAAGCTTTCGGTCAGTAGTTTACTTTCGTTCAGCTGATACACATTGAGGTTTCCGCAGCCTTTGACTACTGTAACGATTAACTGGGTTAACTGGGTAGACTTCACTCAATACACATGCAGCACGCATGATTCGGTTTTCAAATGATTGTACAGCGCGCCTAAATGTATGCTATCATGCGGCCAATTTACAAAAT